AACAAACATATCGTTAGCTTCATAGCATAAGTGCCTAAGTCATTTTTTTGTGATGACATAGGCAGACGGACAGGATGATGCAGCAGTGGTAGGGGAGTAAAGTTAGGCAAAAATCTCAATTTGACCAAACAATGACTTAGGCAATTATGCTATGAAGCTAACGATATAAAATAAATAAATAAATATTGTTTTTATTTATTTCTCCAATTGTGAAATTTTGCTGAAACAATAAAGATTTAAAACATAGCACATTTATTCTGAAATGTAGACAAGCATTGGCCAGGTATCCTATAATATCAGTACATCATACCTGCATTGACAGGAGTCATACGATGCATATCTACATTAATACTGTAATACTGCGCTGTAATGGGCTTTATTTATTTTGACAGTATAAACAGGAAATGAAAGGACACATTACATCTAGTTTGAATAGAGAAACTGACCTTCAGAGCAAAACTTGTTGTTCTTACCAACACTCATAATTTGGATACTAACACTATACACAAGTTCAGAACAGCAGTGATGCCATCACATTAACTTAAATCTTTCAAAATAAAAGACTGCTTTCTAAAGTTCTACCTGTAATGTTTACAGCACTTAGAATCAGAGGGAGAGCAGCTGGATGTAAAATTTATCTCATGAAAATAAAGGAGGTGAAGGACCACACAGTAATTAACACCACATATATTAAGCCAACATTATAATCAGTGAAACACAGCAGGTGCTCATAAAAGAGTGACCTCTGGTCTCTCCATCCATCTATAAAAGGTTAACATTAAGGAGAAACTAATTATTATATCAATAATCTTATCATTCATCTTTATTTAATGGGTATGTTCAAATACATCTCACAGATAGTTCAGAAATAAAAACATCACAGTAGCAGCCAGGCGGTGGATGCAAGCATTTATTTGAGGCGATGGCGTGGAAGGATGGGGAGTCGTACAAACTAAACATGTTTTAAACCTTTGAACCATTCAAAACTGTAGAAAATACAGCAGTGTGTTTATCACCATCTGATGTGTTCTGTTTATTACAATAAAATACACGTTTGCCTACAGAACATCGCTGCATGTGCAAATACGGGCTTTCCTTCCAGTCTCTGGTGTCTTAGTTCATATTTGTGCCTGCACTTTCTAAGCAGATTTAAGATACTTCAGAATAAATTAATTTCATACATTTTCTTCAACAGATGCAAAACAGCAGCACACAAACAATAAAGCTTAAAAAATGCTCAGTTGGCTATCTACACAACTTAAAGGTGCTTTTCTCAGCATGTGTTCATCTGCTTTGTGGTTTTAATTAAGACCATGGTTACTTCGTCTGATTTTGAAAATTAATTTCTGAATATTTATGGTTAGACGGACACAGTCGACCTTTTGTTAAACCCTTGCACCTTTTTTTACTGTCACTACAACAGGTTATTCACAAAAATAAAGCAGGAAAGCGACATGATGTGTGGAAACTGATTAAAACCAACAACGGAAGAAGCGAAAAATACTTTTTTAAATTTTAACTTCTAGTCCCCAAATCATGGACTTCCTGTTTAATAGAAAGAGACCCAGTCAAGCAGCAGAAGGCGAAGATTTTATGAGCCGAATCTGCCTCCCTGTAAGAAAAACTAACCATTTAAGTTAGGACATTTTATCAACACTAGGTACTAACTAATACTAAAACTAAGATACAACATAAACATTTTTATTAGCTGTTTGGCTCCATTCATTCGGTTCATTGAAAAAGTCACACTCAGCCCCCTGCTGGTCTTCTGGATGAACTACAGCCACCTTTGGGAATACCAGGAAGTGGAATCGCTCTCTAATAAATGTAGAAAACGTGTTAAAATGTATTTAAAAATCTTATTTAAAGGTCTGAAACACTGCTGCATCCCCTATGAAGGCAGCAACGTATAAAATATTTCTGTATCCGAGTTTTAGTAAAACCGCTAGCTTTCATGACTGATCACGAGTTCTGATCTTTACCCAGGTCAAAGTTATCAGTAATCAATAATAAATCAAGCTGAAAAGTGCTGCAAATAATGATGGAGCTACACAGCTTGGCCAGAAGGAGGCGTTTTTGTTTTTTTATCTGTAACCTAACAAAGTATCACAACAGCCAAATACACATTTGTTGCTCTAACAAAGTTCCTCTAAAAATAGCCTCACACCTTGGCAGACATCCTGAAACTGCTCTGGGCACTTTTTTTGTGAAGCATTATCAAAATTTACTTTAATTTCAGTGACGAGCGGCACATTAAAACTGCTTGTGGAGAATCACAAATCTGATAAAAAAAAAAAATCCCAGATGCTGTCTGCACTTCTCACTTTGTATTTTTTAAAAACTTTGATGGTTTTTTGTAATTCTCTCATTCGTAGTGAACACTGGCGTGACTGCCTTCTACGTTCCCGCCAACTTTTCAACCAATCAGTGTTTGACCCACGCATGGGGTCGAATAAATACTCACAGGTCACAGCAGTTCAGCACAGGTTACAGCTCACAAAGCTAGCTTGGTCCTGCCCCTCAACAGGCTTCCCAAAATTGGCTAATCAGAATAAGGTAAGCTTTTTGGGAAGGAAGGGGGGGGTCTTAAAGACGCAGGATCTACAATGGTGTGTTTCACAGAAAGGATGAAAGTGAATAACAGTGTTTTTGAACAGAATCATGCAGAGCTGCTTTAGTGGAGTCCCAGAATAAAGGTGCAGAGTTAGAAATGAGAATCACATACACCCCTCAGGTGGAGGGTTTAACCATGGGTCAACTGTCCCTTTGTCTGATCAAAAGTTTCCAGCTGAAACTTTTCAAATTTGGTTTTGATTACTCTCGAATTAAAGCAGCTTTTAGTGTTTCGCCAATCGAATGTATCTCTGATAGTATTTACAAAGTCGCCATTCAGGCTTTACTGACATGAAACAAGTCAACATTTGGTCTATGTAAGCAGCACACAGCACTGTATATGTTTAAGGAACATTAACATGTGACATATATAGCAGGAAATATTACTCTCGAAAAATAAATAAATAAATAAATGAACACCTTTCTTTTTCTCAAAGCCACGGAAGAAACATTACGATGGCTTTTCAAACCCGAAATGAACGTTTGTGCTCAGGAAGAAAATCCAAACATTTGACGGTTGGTTTTTTTTCTCGTACAGTGCATACTTGATAGATAGCTACTCTGAAATTGTCAGGCAGTATTAGTGTAGGTAAGATACATGTCACATTCATTCTACGGCAAATGTTATGTATACTAGAGTATCTTTTAAGTTCAGAATGAGTTCACTCACAGTCTGGGTGTTAGGCAAAAGCTGGAAGTTATTTAGTACTGAAGACACACACACACACACACACACACACACACACACTGCAGTCCAGCAATAAAACTGCTCCAGCTCTGGTCTCTAAAGGACAGGATCACAACGATCAGAGGAGGAGGGAAGCAGACTGACGCCCAGCCCACAAACAGAAAACGAGGAGGAGGGACGTGTCTGTGCTTTCAGAACTCGTGTCTGTGGTACATGTCGGGGTCGTAGTATTTGGTGACCACCACTCTGTTGGCAAACTTGCGTCCAGTGAGGGCTTGCATGGCTTTCTGACAGTCTGCAGCAGAGACGTACTCGACGAAGATCTGAAATGAAAAAGCGCCGGTGAGTCCCGAAGAATCGATGCTACTTACGCTTTATAATATATTTTCTGGCTATAAATCCAACGCCCCCTCGATGGCGGCTCACTGGACATGTACAGAGTGTATAAACATCACCTTTCCGCAGCCGGGTACTTCCACGCCGTCGACAGGCCTGGGGATCTCGATGGAGCGGACAGTGCCGTACTTGCAGCACTCCTCGCGGATGTCCTCGAGGATCTCCTCGTAGTCCTCGTCGTCCACCAGCTCCTCGGGCATCACCATATTGAGAAGGCACAGCACCTCTGTGGGCATGCCAGAGTTCTGGAGCCTCTGAAGCCCAGGCACCTGCAGCGTCACCGGCGTCTCTATGATGGAGGTCTGCAGCGCACACACGGCATAAAAACGCTAAAGCTGAGGCCTCAAAGTGCAGAATCCAAAACCAGCGACTGGCAGCATTCCTCTTTTATACACAGACTGTGCACATGATGCAAAAAATGAGACCACAGGTTCATGCTGCCACTTGTACTCACAGGATTGGCGTTTTTAGCTCCCACACTCGCCCTCTGGACGATCAGCTTTTTGTCGCCCAGCTGCATCCCATTGAGCCCGGCTACAGCCTGATGAAGAGCAAACAGACCTGTAGCCAAACAGCAC